TGGACACTATATATGACGCTGTGAGAAGAAGGTCCACCCCAACCATTTCTTGTTGCTTTCACGTCGTTCGTCCACTGATGTTGCACCTTCGGATCGATTAGAAATGTGTGAATAATTACACTATGACTATATGTATCACTGCAACTGCCCACAACACAACATCTAAAAACTCTCTCAAAAAAAAAAAATAAAAAAAAAAACCCCGATCGAAGAATGTATATTGTTTAAAAGTATATTGAATGACCAGTGTTATTACGGCTCAGGAGTATGACTTCCTCTCATATTTTGGCATTTGGTAGGGCACTTTTGGCGAAAGTCGGAAATCCGAAAACAGTCGACTGTTTCAGGATAGGTGGGCGTGGCTACATCACGAGAAATATCTCAAATTTACTTGGAAACGAGTAATTATTTTCAGCAAAAAAATCAATAACTGCCCATTTCAGTGGGACACAGATCTAAAATGGGAAACGTGTGGGTGGCCATTGCACAGGCACTTTAATTTCAATGCGCATTGATAACAGCAGAGCTATCTCAGCCGACAGGCTGCTAGTTTATAGATTGTAGATGTAATTTATGTGAACATAACAGTCAGTGATTCATGCATTCAAAAGATGTCACTATCTGAATGTAAAAACGAAACACTTTTCCAGTAAAAATATAAATATAAATTTAAAAGAAACAAAAAAGTTATTTAAAATCACTGACACTGCTATGTTTCTCATGTGGTTTTCCCTTCCAATTTCTTCACAGTACTCATTGCAATCTTCAATAAAGGATTGATTTACTTAGCAGTCACATGACTACATGAAGGATACATCTAACATAACATTGATTTTAAATTAGTGTGAATTATAAACTTTCATAAAATTTATTGTTTGATATTGTTTAAAACAATACTTCTAAAAAAATAATTTGTGTGAATTTTACTTTCTGTAAACCTCTACTACATCCTAAAGTATAGAACACCTGCAACTCAATGATGCGCTTTGTTTTGATTTTCTGAATGCACATTGTTCATTGAAAGATAAAAATGATCAGAAACTTTAATTTTCATTTCTGATTGTTTTTTTGTCTAAGGTCTCAATTTATTATCACTGCCAGTTCTGATGGTCATGTTAAGTTTTGGAAAAAACAGGACTCAGGAATTGAATTTGTCAAACACTTCCGAGCACATTTAGGTATGTTCTTATTTTGTACTTTATGATGCACCTAGTTTTTAGACTTGGTCAATGGATTGTTGTTATGACGATAGCAGACAATTGGTGTTGACCTGTTTAGGCCAAATAAAACAAACTCAATGTTTCCGGTAATTTTATTTTATCATTTTATTTTTCCTAAATAGTTTGCTTAGGTTTTTGTGGGAATATAATCATGGTTTGACTACAGATGTTAAAAATTACATCTAAGTTATTTTTCAAAATATATTTTCTCAATATAAATAAGAGCTAGTCATTTACTACATCGAAAGAAGTACAAGAAATCAAAAAGTCCATTGGCAGAACAATTTTGAGCATAAAATAAATTTTTCGTTATTTTTTCTAAAATGAGTACCGTAAGTTGGGTTACTGGAAACACAGAATTTATTTTTTTGGCCTTACTGACCATCAATGTGCACGAAAAGTGGTAGCTTTTGGTGCGAGTACATAATTTGTATTGAAAAATGCTTTTATCTTTTTTGAATATGTCTCAAGGCACACAGTGACATCATAATGTTTGAATCTCACCTTCTGATTGCCAGGACAACAATTTCAACATAAATTAATTACCGATACTATTTCATGTTTGTTATTTCTTTACTCCAGGTTGTATAGAATGTATCTGTGTCAGCTCTGATGGACTGTTGTTATGCACTGTTGCAGATGACAAATCAGTCAAGGTTTTTGATGTCATTAATTTTGGTGAGTGAACATTCACAATATCCCTTAGTTTGGGGTAAACAACGTCACTAGTAAAATGCTTTCAAGATTATTGACAACACATTAAACACTTTCATTTCTTTAGATTAGCATATAAAACATACAAAAAAAAGTATATTCGTTGGATTTTATTTTCACTGAATCATCCCTTTTGCGAAAAAGAGCAAAAATAGAATATTTTACAGTGGTCCGTACAAATGCAGCACACAATCATACCAACCGATGCAAGTTTAAGTTAATTTGTGTCAATTATTTTACATTTATCCTTTTATATCACAGATGTATATCAATATTTTATATTGATCATGTTAACATTTATTTAATATCATTTACTTTTGTAGATATGATTAATATGATGAAGCTGCCATATGTAGCTAGTTGTTGTGAATGGATTTACTCATCTGGGGATCCTATACCTGCCCTTGCATGGTAATAATGTTATTTATATTTATGAAACGTACTTAACTGATATCACTTTTTTGTAGCACTGGTTGACACAAGTTGTGTCATGGGGTACCGGTATTAATATTAGTGAATCAAAAGTGAACCCTTGACAACAATAGTTATAACCAGCACTATAAATATAAGTAATATCAGGTGATAATCTTTGTATTATCTGAAGAATGTCAAAATGTCAGAAGTCACAAGCCTCGCTTATGAATCATATGCTAATTTATGCTAATTTGATGTAAAGTTTGAGCATGATAGTGGACATTCATTTGCAGTTTTGACCGCTGTTGGTTTGCCTAATCAACAGAAATATTACACTTCTTAGTGTGTTTTTTTTTTCCCAAATGAACTTTCAGTCATAAGTTATTGTCATTGCATTATGGGTAATTGTTCTTGTACACTTATTCTCATATCACAGTGATGAAAACCTTTGCACAACTTGGTACTGTTTCTGCTTACACAGACGGATGAATTTTATCATGCATATTGTCATGTCTACTGTACAATATTATATTTCACACTAAACATGACTACTATGAATAATATGCACCATGCTCCAGTGATATGTATCATTTATCAAAGTTTTTTTTTTGATAGTTCTGAGAAAGACAGCGGTGTAATTCATGTCTATGATGGTAAGGGAGATGGTACACCAATACACACAATAGACAAACTTCATTCAAAAAATGTTGTTCTCATAGAGGTATGTATCATTTCATTGTATACTCTTTGCTGTTGTATACCATTAAAACTCCATTATTAAATGTAGCCTTTTCACTACCTGTCATTGTGAGTTTAAATTGTATTCTTGTGCATATTATAAACTGGGAATGGAGTTATTTTATCAGAACTTATTATTCAATAGTTTATGGAATAGTCTGCAACAGAAAATAAAGTGTCAGTATTGTATGAGCATTTGTGATATCTGTTTCTGTTTCAGCTGTGATACCTTTTGATCCTAGTGTTATGTTTTGACCTTGGATCAAAAATTATTATTACACAGAACAAAACTCTAATTCCAAAGGAAACACACCTGTTTTTGCAACCTTGTCAATCTCTGACTCTTTGTAGTACTGCATGTCATCTTTATTTGTAACACCACTCTTCTGATATAATCTGCCATCCTAAAAACCCCACATACTTCAATATTGCTGTTTTTAGTCCCTGTTTTAGGCGCAGCGCAGTATAGTTTCTTATTTCCGGTTCCCGTCTGTGACATTTCCTTTACATGTCTAGCATTTAGCAGATATTGATTAAACTTGGCAGGTTGATGAACAAGTCTTTGTTGAATATGCACATAATTTCTTTTTTAAGATCTGAAAATCTTAAGTGGGTCTTTTTCACGATTTTCATCATAAATTGCCTCTTCCAACAACACTGAGAGAACAACTGAGCATGCTCAGAATAAATAATTAGGTTAGATGGTAATGCTAGGGTTTTCAGTGATGTCATGACCTTGATCTGAATCAGTGACAGAAATGGATCACAGTCTGGTTTTTGTTTGGTTTTAAGAAAACAAAATCTTGAAAAAAAATGGTCAGAAATTTTGTTGTATATTATATCTTTAAACTGTAAAAATTGCATTCCACTATAAAGAGCCATCACTGAAATACTTGGTCTCAAAGTTGAAGATCAGTGAAAACACTTTGCAGTTACTGTTTATAATTCTTGGCCAGGCACATTGACACATGTGGTCTAAATATACCTTCAGTTGTCAGAGCTAGTGGATAAATGGATCATACCATTATAAATCTCAGTGGAAACTGTAGAGGGGGGGTCGGTCAGTGCTACTGAAACAAACCCATGTCCTCGTAATATACAAAGACCTGAATTCACGAAGAAGTCAAGTTGTTATTAAAGATACATCAAGGTTTACTCAGATTTATGATGCAAAGAAATGTTTGTTTTAATTCAAATAAGATTAGACCTGTATTTTTTATAAATGCATAACAAGTTGCTAATTCTTGTATTTTTGATTTTTTCAGTACAATCCAGTATATGATGTGGTCATATCAGCAGATAGTTCTGGCATGTTGGAGTACTGGGCAGGTCCCAAACAAGATTTTACGTTTCCCAAAAAAACAGTCAAATTCCAATTCAAAACAGATACTGATTTATATGAATTTGCAAAGGTGTGTAAGATTTATTTTTTATAACAATAAATGTATAGATTCAAAGCATATTTTTGTTTACCATGAATACCATTTATGGCAGACTTCATACCATTTATGGCAGGCTTTATACCATTTATGGCAGGCTTCATACCATTTATGGCAGGCTTTATACCATTTATGGCATGCTTTATACCATTTATGGCAGGCTTCATACCATTTATGGCAGGCTTCATACCATTTATGGCAGGCTTCATACCATTTATGACAGGCTTCATACCATTTATGGCAGGCTTCATACCATTTATGGCAGGCTTCATACCATTTATGACAGGCTTCATACCATTTATGACAGGCTTCATACCATTTATGGCATGCTTTATACCATTTATGGCAGGCTTCATACCATTTATGGCAGGCTTCATACCATTTATGGCAGGCTTCATACCATTTATGGCAGGCTTCATACCATTTATGGCAGGCTTTATACCATTTATGACAGGCTTCATACCATTTATAGCAGGCTTCATACGATTTATGGCAGGCTTCATACGATTTATGGCAGGCTTCATACCATTTATGGCAGGCTTTATACCATTTATGACAGGCTTCATACCATTTATGACAGGCTTCATACCATTTATGGCAGGCTTTATACCATTTATGGCAGGCTTCATACCATTTATGACAGGCTTCATACCATTTATGGCAGGCTTCATACCATTTATGGCAGGCTTCATACCATTTATGACAGGCTTCATACCATTTATGGCAGGCTTTATACCATTTATGGCAGGCTTCATACCATTTATGACAGGCTTCATACCATTTATGGCAGGCTTCATACCATTTATGGCAGGCTTTATACCATTTATGGCAGGCTTCATACCATTTATGGCAGGCTTTATACCATTTATGGCAGGCTTCATACTATTTATGGCAGGCTTCATACCATTTATGGCAGGCTTCATACCATTTATGGCAGGCTTCATAGTATTTATGGCAAGCTTCATACCATTTATGGCAGGCTTCATACCATTCAATATTCATGAGCTAATTGCATATGCTAAAGTTCCAATAGAATTAGCAACATAAGCAGAACAGACTTTCTAAGTGATTGCTATTCCTATATATCGGTACTAATTGTAAATACACTTCTTCCAAATATTTAAAACTCTGCTTACTGTGTGCTATGTACTTTGGGTGATTTCTTGAAATGCATTCTCTCAGTAACTTCTCAATGATAAAACTTATTGAAATCTTTTCAAACTTCAAGTAAAACTGTAAAATACTTTATAATATACTCTATAAAATACTTTTAATTTGGAATTATTTTTCACCGAAATGATTTTTTGGGTGTTTAGTATTTTCACTGATTTTGGACAAGTGGAATGTAAAATATCGCAAAAAAAGTATATTCCCAGGATTTTATTAAATTTAATCGCAAGCGAAAATAAAGTATTTTACAGTAGTTCTGATTGAGACTGAAATATCAAAGTGTACTTATTCCACAGTAAACTTTATAGATACTTAATTGGTCATTAAAGTGCATCCCCACTTTGTATTATACACAGAACACCTCCCTACCATGAAAAATTATAAAATCTATTTATTTGGCAACAAATCCAAAAATATTGGAGCACTGAAGATATACACAAAATAATACATCATTCAAGGTCGCTTTATTTCAGGAAGAGTTGTTAAATTATGTTAGTGAGAGGTTTTATACACGTCATACAAAGTTGGAATGCAATTTTATTAATAATAGCATAACAGTAATTTTTCGTTAATTATTCAGCTTGTAATTAATTCAAAGCTATACAATTAATATTGTAATCTGTTTAATTTTTTGTGATTGGAAATTTTCATGATTTAAAATTACATCAAAGTCACAGATGCTTTGTGTCATAGGTCAACTTTCACTGCTACAAAATGTTTTCATTTTCATTGACTCCTGAAATTAGTGAAAATTTGTTTATTATAAAAAGTGTTTTACAGTGTATTCAATTGTATGGCAGCAGTCCTGCTAACAAGTATGTATTATATGAATGAAATACACTTATTTTAAAACATTTTTTTTTTCCAGTGCAAAACAGTACCTACATCATTGATTTTTTCACCGAATGGTAAAATGTTTGTTACAATGTCCTTTGATCGCAGGGTATGTATATGTAAACGAATGTCTACTATGTTCTAGTTTTATTTTGTATATATGTAAAATATTTTGGAATTTCTTTGTTAATTAAGCCGGACATGCATGGGGTTAATCATTTCAATTCATATATGCTAAACTTTCTGTTGTGAAGGACATTGATGACATCACTTGCACTGAAACACACAGAATGATGACATCACTTGAACTGAAACACACAAAATGATGACATCACTTGAACTGAAACACAGAGAATGCTGACATCACTTGCATTGAAACACAGAGAATGATGACATTACTTGCATTGAAACATAGAGAATGATGACATCACTTGCACTGAAACATGCAGAATGATGTTACATCATGGGAAGCCTAATACCACTGTCTACCTCAGGCTTGTTTTTTGTTCACATCCCAAAACAAAATGATGTTCTTTTGCAGTGTTATTGATTAGCATATTAAGTTTTGTTCCATAGATTTGATTTAAAATGGCTAACTAGCCAACCCATGGCCATA